TTTGAGAGGGAGATACAGCTGTGTGTCGTCAGCATAGGGGTGGAAGGAGATGTTTTATTTTCTAATAATTTGGCCCGAGAGGAAGCATGTACAACAAAAAGAGAATAGGACCCAAGATGGAGCCTTGAGGGACCCCACAGGAGAGAGTGGCTGAGGAAGAGGAGAACTTTTGAGTTTGGGTTGAGTTGAGAGGCGGTTATGGAAAATGAATGAATGAATTGAATGAATGTGACTTCACCAGTCAAAGTTCACTAAAGTTGAATTCCATGCAATGCAAAGATGCAAATTTGCTTTGCCACCGGAAGCAAACATTTAATTTGCCCCTTCACACATAGTGAGTAGAACTGAGCAGGATCGTTAATTTCACTCCTGTGCGACTGAACCCTTTGAACCTTTTTTCGTGTGAACTGCTGGGCAAGTATACCTCATATCAGTGGTAAAATTATGATAATCAGACCTCTTACCAAAATAAGACAAAGGAAACCTCACAACCGATGACACGTGCAACAGATGAGGAAGGTCGGAAGTGGACACTGCTTCAATTAGAGGGGTCACAAGCCAAAACCTCTGAGTTTAAATTGTGGTGTTGCTCAGCACGCAGACTGAACTCTTTAAACGGCCTAATGGCTAATTCCAACCTGCACACTGCCAGCATGCAGAGGAGCTGTTAGATCTGAGCATGAGACAAAAACAAATACAAACCAACTGCTGACACAGAGTCTATCAAACAAAGATTTGTCTCAGCGTTTTATGAGCCTGCAGGGAGGTTTCGTCTGCACGTCTGTCTCTGCGGAGCATCTATTTGTTTAACTTTGTGGTGAAAAGTGCCTCCAACACAGAATAACAACAGCCAAGGCTCCTGACTTCCTGCAAGCTGCATTACATAAAATGCCTCTGAGCTGCGAGGCGGTCAAGTCGAGGAGGGCTGGAGACATTGGATGAGAGGGGAAGAGACAGGGAGGGAGACATGACACGGGCAGAGCAGTGGAAGGAACGAGACAGAAACAAAGACGGAGTAAAATGTAGCTTCCCTCCACAGGGGAAGCAGCCTGGAAAAATAATTGTTGAGAGGAGACAGAGGAAAGCCACTAATGACAGCAGACAATAAAAACTGGCCACTACTGTAGCGTCTTCCCAGCCAGAATGACAATAACGCAGGAACTGACAGCCCTGCTCTTAGCTAGGTCTACAGAGGGATTGAACAGCCACAACCACAGCACCTGAAAATAGAGCTTTGTCTGGGAATAGACTGTTATTAGGTCGTCTAAACACAGGGTCAATAACACTGTTAGCGCACCTCCTAGACACTGAGGAATGGCTGGGGTGGTAGCTAATTGGGTGGTCAGGATTATTTTGACAAGCAGTGAATAGAAATCTAAATAATGAGACAGAATTATATGTTACATGTGGTAGTTGTTCAGGGGGAAGAAAGAGACAAATCCTTGTAAACACAAATTTACTCAATGATAATCATCGCATGCTTGACTTTTGCCTAAACAGCAATGATCCAAGTATGCAGCAAACCAAAGAATTAGCGTTTGTCGGCCGTGATTAAAAAATTCAGAAGACAGCAAGAATCATTTCAAGACTTTTTTATTACTAAACTCTCTCTAAGGCAGCAGTTTGTGTCCACAGGTAGTCCTAAACGTCTCGCAGTGAATAAAATAAAACGGTACAAAAATCAGTTTTGCTGTGTGCTACAAACATCATTAGACAGCTCTTGGTAAATAAAAGTTCACAGACAATAATAATAAGCATTACAAACATTCATTTTCCCCTTCAAGTATGCTACTATCCAAAGTGACTAGTGTAAAATTGGCCGAGGAAATAAAATATGTTCATGATTATTTACACATAACAGGTCCAATATGAGTGCGTGTATAAAAAGGAAAAGAAAAAAAAAAACACGACTGGAAACAAGTTGGTCAGAAATGTTTCAGCTGTGTTTTTGGTGGCGAGCATACACACACAGACACACGTACACAGACACACACACAGTGATGTGACTGACTGGCTTCCAAGTTTTAAAACAGAGCAAAGAGGTTCAGCATTTCAGTACAGCAATAGTTAAGACTTCAGTTGATTCAGTGGCACCAACAAGGCAGCGTCCACCCTCGTCTCGTACCTGGAGTAGACACTTGGAAATACAGGAACATGGACTAGACGTGGGAATGTCTCAAAAAGTTAAGCGTGACATGTCGTTCTTTACTTTGGAAATTGTAGTTTGACAAATAATCCCAACTCAAGCTCCACTTAACGACTTTTTCCGCAGCTTTCAACAGCATCACGTGGTCTTCATTAGCAGATGGAGTTTGCTCACTTGTCACAACACTCAAGATCAGCAGCTGTCATGATTTCAACAACAGCATTTTTAGGAATTGTAGCTTGTGAGGGCCTTTAAAGACGTACTTCACTGCTGGAAAGATGATCTTTTAATAAAACTAGGCTGTCTGTGCTGCAAAAAGACGCAAATACTTTTTAAAAAGCAGTGCTATGTGACCAATGAAAACAGAGGACAAAGGCTGTGGCATTCGCTTTTGCTCAAGAGGTAGAAAACCTACAACTACCAGAATGCACTGCACTGTACTGAACCGATAAATGCTCTCTCTGGTGGGTGACATAATGTGAGCTTGCACTCTAAAAAAAGTTTCATTGGGTTGGTGGATAACACTTAAAATAATAAGTTTTTCAGCACCAAATAATATTTTTTTTGACATTTTTTAATAAGGATGGAATTAAAATAAATAAGTTAGAATATCTTAAATAAAATAATTTTAACACTTAACATCACCACAACTGTTGGATAAATATTAGGTTGGTTCAACTTAATCAAACCGTTGGAGTTCGTCAAATTATAAAAGACTCATAGGACTGACTCAAAAATGCCAGAATAGGAACTACTTAAAATGATGCATGCAAGTTGTTATTTTAATCTTTAAAAGTTGCACCAGTGGATTCTTTTTTAGAGTGTGGATGTTTTTCCACAGGAAACAAATGGTGGCCGACTGGCAAAAAACAATCTGGCGATCGTACTGCAGTCAAACAGTGAGCTAAGATATGTCTCTGAAAACATTTTAGGCAAGAAATATGCTGTACAGTAACAGAATTTTGGTCCATACTTTAACAGCACTGCTCAGTATTACCGTTTGATCTCATTTTTTTCAGCCTCTGTTTTTACAATACAGGAAATAGTATGGTGTCCACTTCCTGTTCACTCTAGTATTACAGCTAAACAGTGGTCAGCACTGTCTAGTTTTGCCGTTTGATCTGAGCAAAAAAGAGGCGGGTCTCTCTTTCGACCTGCTTCTATACTCTTTGTGTCCATGGTGGCGGGCATACAAAAATACACAAGTACAATCTGTAGTTCGAGCAACAGCACTAGCGCCAGCAAAAATCCATGTGAGCTGAGAGATGAGCAGTGAGATCTGGGCACCGGTAAGTTTACCACAGTTCATTTACACATATTACCCACAGTGTTATGATACAGAGCTGGTTGAAAATCGCAACAGTATCCCTTTAACTATGCTGATGAAGACCATGTGATAGGGTTGAAAGCTCAAGGTAAAAAAGCTTGTAAGTGGATGCTGAGTTGAGATTGTTTTGTCAAAGTCTAGAGGGATATTTGAAGGGCTCAACCCACTGAAAACCACCAAGTGTGTTCACGTGCACACTGATATTACATAGTTGTTTTGTTAAGAGATGGTGCACATAAATATCTTCTAAGACAGTTTCAGATGAGCTCATATCCTGAGCTGGGTTGTGCCTCTATAAACCGGAAAACAGGGAAAGTCGACGCCCCATTTGATTTATTGTTTGTGTATTCTGGTTTCAAAGTGAATCTCTGTGTATAGAGAGATATTTCAGATCTGGACATGAGGATTTAAAACAAGACAAACACACAGCAAACCCAAAAATTAGACCCGAGATAGGATATTAGCTGGACTACAATGTGCTGTAAACACACTCGTGATGGACACTCCCTGGAGGATGTTTTCACAAGTAATAAGACTCTGTGGACGACCACACATCCAGCGCAGTGTCACTTCTCCTTCATACAAGAGCACACAGACAGGAACCCAGTCAGCCCAGCGTGTCTTTGGTTTAACCAACTGAAACAAGCAGATGATTTATTTTTCACGACTGCTACATAATCTTGGTGAAACATCACTCATGGATCGCGGGAAAAAGACGACAGACAGTGCACCTCGGCTTCAATGCTACAACATCGACACGCGTCAGGAGATTAAATATGCACACCTTCATTTTAAGTTCATTCAAAAACAAAATCAACAACTGATTGTGGTTTCATTAAACTGCCACCAGTCTACCCCAAGCAAGGCGTACCTTATCGTACATACACACCCATGTGTGTACTTTAAGTGTATATACACATATGCACAAACATACTTTTGGCTGACTTTTGCATCATGATGCACGTCAAATATCTCTGTTCCTAATACAAGAGTGTGTAAGAGGGCAGCCGGTGCAGCGGATATCACACACAGTATGTACAACAATATACATAATATACATAAACACTCCAGCTAGTGATCACAGCTTCAGAGACAAGCTTACTTGGACAAAGACAAAAATCTTCTGACATTTTTCCCTCCAGAGACACAAACACATCAATGTGTCAACTCCTTCGTGATTTAAAGGGTTATCACGTATGTACAGAGACAGGAAATCACATGGACATCTCTGTATTTCTTCTGTGAAGACAGATCAAGATTGAAATTTCAGACAAAAGCTGATAGTCATTTTTGTTGCAGGACCACTGCACTCGTCACAGTACCGCTTTTCAGTCAAGCAGAGATTTAAGACGCAGCTAATGAAATGTTATCAGCAATCAATAAAACACAGCGTCGATGAGACCTCAGGGTCTCAATTAAAACTGTCATCTTCATATATATA